CAGTCCTTATAAAACTTACGATTATGGATACCCTCCTAACCTTAAAGAGAATTCTCTCAATTTTATTCGTAAAGTTTATGAATATTGTCCTTCAATTGAATATTTATCAATTTTATTTTCACCATCAGAGGAGCATTTTACCGAATTGGAAAAATTATTAAAAATTTGTCAAAATATAAAATCATTATTAATAGTTATGAAGCGTATAGTAGGTGATAAAGAATATGGAAAGAAATTATTAGAAATATTAATTAGATCAGCACCAATGAATTTAAAAGAAATCAGAATTGGTAAAGAATTTAAGTTTTCTTTAGAAAATTTGAAAAAATTCTTAGATAGATGGAGAAGTAGGCCAGCACTTTCACTTTTCATACTTACTAGTGATCCTATTTACATAGGAGAGGATTTTACAAGACTGATTGACAAATATAAAAGTGACGGAGTAATCAAGGATTTTAAATATGGATCACATACAAATGATATTGACTATGTTTTTAACATTTAATATAGCAAGTTTTATATAAAAAAGAAAATCAATTTAACTTAAAGAGTTCAAATTATTATATAGTACTATAGCTATTCTATCAAAATTATGGATTAATAAATTTGCTAATTATGAATAATACGAGCAAAAGGTGCTTATTTTTAATTTTAGTATTATTATGTCGTTTCAGTCATTTCAGGAATATTATTTTGTACGATGCAGCATTATTACAATTGACATATTTTAATTACACACGATACAAACATCAACATATTATATTTTGAAAATTGTTAATAAAATTTTATTTATTGGAGTAATTTTTGAAATAACATAACGAAAATTGAGACTTTCCGATTGTCTAGTACATGTAGGTGAAGATATTGCTTATTTATTCTATTATAACTTGGAAAAATCATTTAATTCCAGTATAATTATTTATTACACTAGTAATTTCGGAATAATGTCTTTTTGTGTTTTCACAAAAATTTTAGATGAAACATGTTGAGTTAGCTGTACGGTATAAGTATTAAGAATTTACTTCCGCTTGAACGCGTTAGTATACATATTTTGCAACAACATACTCTTTAAATTACAATCATTTCTGATAACATATTTAATTATTAAATGTTAATTAACAAATTGATTGGCCAAGGTTACCTTGTCATTATCAAAATATAGGCATAGTTCAGTAGAATTTCGTGTGTCACGTTAAATTTAATAGATTTACTGTATGTAGTGTGATTTAATTTTGTTGAAGACCGAATATCGGCGAAAAATGTGAAATGATCCAACTTTTCCCATTTCCGACACTTCAATACTTGTAATTTTTTAAACTCAAAATGTTTTTATGTTTGTAATAAGTTTATACGTTATAATAAATATCTAAAGGTTAAGAAAAAGAAGGAATGTTTATAATAAAAAAAAAAGTTTACGCGTTATAATAAATATTTAAAATCTTTCAGCTCCTAGTCAAGATATTAACTCCCTATTTAGAAAAAAATATTATATAACATTTCTTTTTCATTGTCTTTTTTGTAAGATGCCGCCTTGGACATGAAACTGGATTCCAAGCTAAAAAATGAAAAATGAGGAAAGAGAGGGAGGATTTTTTTATTTTTAATTTAAGAAATAAATTAAGAAATAATTTAACATTTCTTTCTCATTATTTTTGTAAGGTGCCAGCTTGAACATAAAACTGGGCTTTATAAGGTATGAAATGGTAAGGGGAGAATTTGTTTATTTTTAATCTAAGAAACGAATTAACATTTTTTTTGTTATTTTTTTTATTTAGGATGCTGGCCTGGCCGCCTGGGGATTTCTCAACGTTGGGCATTCCTTGTATTCTCTTCTTTTGTAGGTAGGTGTTGTTTTCGAATGGATTGGTAAGTTTCGAAGCAAATTCGAAACTTTTTAAAATTTATTTTATTTTTATTATTGAAGTTTTTTTAATTTTTTTTGCAGGTATTGACCTTGGATGATATGATCGGTAACTTCATAGACTAGCTACCACTGAATCATCATATACTGTATACAGAGTGTGAGTCACTATACACCTTCAACAATGAATATGAAACCAGAAATCCTGATTCTGATATATTTCCAATCACTCGGATCTCCTAAAACAATCCATAACCAGCATACTGGCGGCCTTCTCTAAACTACAAAGATTATATAATAAATTTACAAAATAATATTGGCCTTGAATGGCTTGTGTACTGTGGAAACTTCTACTTCTTTGCCTTAATAGGATCATCTAACCATGAATACTGGATGGAAATTTATTCGCTAGTTTTTTTTAAAAAAAAAATCAGGAAAAAAATTTATAAAAATAAAAAAAGAAAATGCCCTTCCATTTTTGATCTACCTTTTTATCTTTTCGTAAAAAAATCATTTATTTTATCTCACTATATATCCAAAATTTTTATCAAAAAATTCATATAAAATTTAAAAAGGAAAAAATGACTTTCATTTTTTGATTTACTTTATAAATAATTAAAAAAAAAAAAATAGAATCAAATGAATTTTTTTCCTTAATTAATAATTCTTTAAAATTTTTTAATTATTCTTTTAAACTTTTTTTTTTATAATGTTAATTCTTTAATGAAAATGACATTGTACGTATGCAAATACTTTTCAAAGGAATTTATAATGGATCAATAGGTGTAATATTAAGAGCACTGACTGAATCACTTGTAAAAGTTGTATACAGTGAAATTCGATAAACCGGATTTGGGCCTAAGCTGGACTTTTTTGCTGGAACCAAATCACGTATATTAAAATAGTTTTGATATACCGGAGTTTACTAGTAAAAGCTTGATATTCGCTATAATGGATCAATTTATTTTTATTTTTATTTTTGTTTCCATGTGAACGAAGTTACAGTTAAATCACTAAACTAATACAAGAAAAGTGATTCCTAAACTATCCGTAAATCAAACGGTATCAGGACATTTCGCTGAAAGCCATTTTGCCGAAAAATAATCTCTGGCCTGAGTTATTTATAATTCTGCATAATGTTAGTTGGCCCTATTTTTCAGTGAAACGTCCTTTCGGCGAAATATACCGTAACCAAATCAAACTGCTCGAATTGGACAATGTCACCTGGGGGTTGAAATAAAGCACCATGGCGCCCGCACCCTGAGGGAGAACCTATAATAGATCAATTTTCTAACCTACTATAGTAAAATGATTTGATTTGATAACCCGGATCACATGATTTGATGCATTTGAAACCAAGTAAATTGATTTCACGTGATACAGATATCTTTTTTTTGTGACTGGATCTTTTTTTTTTTGATAATATTTCAAGCAAAATGATTTAGGTATTAATAGTTTGGATATACAAAATTTGGTTAATTTAAAGAAAAAAATTATTTCTGATAGCAGAAGCAGGGTAGATTAGAAAACTTTAGTTGTTTTTAGTATATGTAATATTTGATAAATTAAATAAAGAGATTTTTTAAGTTTTTAATTTTTGTTACATCACATAAAAATTTGATATACCAGATTATTACATGATTTTTTATATGAAATCTGGTACATCAAAATTTTTTCGCTATACTGGATATCCCAATAAACCAGATATTTTTAGTGGAACTGATATCAAATTTCACTGTGTATTTCCTATTTCTATTGGAATAGTGATTATGAATGTCATTGGATTCATATATATTTGCATATGGTCAAACTTATGCAGAGCAACATCATGAAAAATCTGGATATTACATACTTTGATCTAAATTCCATTAAGGTGGATAAAAATGTGATCAAAGAATATGAAAGATTATAAGGACTAAATTATAAAAATATCTTATTGATATTATACCTAATCACGAAAATTTTACATGAATTTATTAGTAAAATAAAGCTTACTTAGTTTCCTCTTTTAAATAGTTCTTATTATCTTATAATGCAATAAAATAAATCAAATAGCAGCTCCCCCACTAATAAATCAATTTCTTGTTGATAATAAAATAATATTGTTTTGCAAGACTACACAAACAGTGTTTTACAAATAAATATACAAAATAAACTGTTGACTATTTTTCGTCATTAATATCTAATACTTTTAAATATAAATTAAGATTTCGTTAATGTTAATTTCATTTATAATAATTTTCAAATTAATAAATTTGACAATATTCCTAAACTGTAAATAATTTATAATAAATTTCATTAAATTTTTAGCTGTAATATTCAATAAAGAATTGATTGAAAAGTTTTTCATAAGATCATTAATTTATTATTTATTTTTATTTTTATTTTTATTTTTTGCAGTAAAATATCCAAATCATTTTTCGTAATTTAATCTCGGGAAATTGTCATGTCGAAAAATTGTCGGAAAAAGGTTAGTCGGGAAAATGGATGTTGAGAAATCGTGCCGTGCCGTAACCCAGTTTTGGACTTAATTTCAAAGGTAATGTCGGAAAAAGTTTACGTTTGGATTTATATCCGTTCAATCCGGATATAAATTAATCCGGATATATTATCTGGTCAGGATAATTTGGCCAGAATTATTGTACAAGATCGTCAAATAAATACCCTTTTTAGGAATTCATGTTACATAATATCTCTATATGGAAAGTTCAATTTCGATTTTTTTTGTAGTGCGGCTATCGCCAAAAAGGAAAAATGATCGTCTTCACGAATGATATTCTGGCCAGAATTATAATTGGACCGAATTAACACTTCAGGTATCCGAATAATTCGGATAAAATTATTTGTTTATCCGGATAACCTCAAAATCGGATATCCGGATTAACGGATCCAGTTTCTAATTCAAAAAGATACTTATTAATGGACTTTATTACATATAATAAGTTTAATAATAAAAAATGAATTAACTAATTATTCTAGTATATAAAAAATGGTTTAAATTAAAACTTTCGTTTATAGTATTTTCCGGATTCCGGAATTTTCAGTACTTGTGTAACAAATTAATGTCGTGAAACAATATTAACTTACAAATATCGTTTCATGAGTGGTCTGAACTTGGAAACGTTCTCATAAATTCATGCTCCAGAAAATTTCACAAAATTTCGTTTCTAAAAGACAGGCTTAAAATAATCATGACTAAGAAGGCTAAAAAAACTAAAAATACTAAAAACTATTCTGAAGATTTCAATGGTACAAATAAGCGTTATTATTTTGATGATACTGAGAAGTTAACATTGGAGAAAATGGGGATTGATGAAAATAATCGACACCAATTCCCTCTACAAGATTTAAAGCAAATGCTCATTTGTGAACAAAAAGCAAAAAGTATTGCAGCAATAACTGATAAAATTATTTACGCTATTAAAAAAATAATTTTTTTCACTCCAAATTTTAATAATAATAAACCTGATGCTTCTAATTATAGTTGTGCGTTATTAACTGATGTTAATAATGATAGTTGGGCGATCGTTTATCGACCTTCTTATGTTAAAGGTATAGATGATGATTTAATTGTGAAAAAATTTCCAGAATATGGAAAAAAAAATAAAACCAAGAGGTTAGAAACGAAAATACAAAGTGAAAATCCTATTCTTGCTGTAATGTCTGACTCTGAAATTTCTCTTAAAGATATTATCAAATTTTCAGTTTTAGTTAATGAATTACCTTCAGATGTAATTAATAATCCAGATCAGTACCTATTGCCTTTGGATATTGTTTCAAGACCAATTGCAAATATGAGTTTTCGTCATTATGCTATCTATTTGGGTAATAAAAAGGTCGTTCACATTACTGGAGAAGGAACTAAATGTGAATCCTGGGATGAATTTTATAAACCTACCTCGTCATCAGCAGGCTCGTCTTACTTTTCTTTCTTCTCAATCTTCTCTTCCAACTTATCTATGCTAGGTGGTACTGGTAATTTAACTCGTCATCATCCCATTATTCCTTTTAAAAAGCAAGAAGCTATAATTGAAGATATTTCTAAGGCGGTGACCATTAATTATGGAAAAGGAACATACAGCATAACGAGCAATAATTGTGAGCATCTTGTTAATATGTGTGTTCTAGGGATAAACCGTTCTGGACAAGTTGATGGAAAATTTTGGAAACCCTCTTTTTGGTTATATAAAGAACTTAAAAGTGAAGCTGATGAATTAAATTATCAAAATTCATTTTATAGGAGTTATAAGAGTCATATAGGAAATTGTATTAGACGAGCTGGAGAAAGTCGTAATTACACTCGTAGTAAGTGTGAAATCGAACGAGAGAAATTTGACAAAAGAATAGAATTACAACCAAATCCTCCATGTAAGATCCAATAATGCCTCATATTAATTTGGTCAAGTTGATTTAATACAAAAATTTCTTATTATTATTATTACTGTATATATGATACGCACGTTTCTTTTTTGTATTTTAGTTCCTTGATTAGTATTTTAGTATTTATTGTTCAACACATATAATAGACGGGAACTTGTACTTGTAAATTGTAGAGTGGAACAAACTACACTCTAATGAATAATTAAAATAAATAAATTATATTTTTCACATATTCATACAGTAAACTACATTTACATGGGTCATGACGAATTTTTTATATATGGCGCACAACTTTCCATATACTTTTTTTTTTACACGTCAATTGGATGATTAAAAACATTTTACTGACTTTACGATAATGCCCCCTTTATTCTCCTATCCTAACTCTTCCTTCCAATCCTTTACCTCAATCTTAATTCCTTTCCTTTACATGTTGGATGTGGTAATCGGAACTGGGGGAAATGACGATCACGCAGCACGCAGCAGTCGCAGCAGCATCTCATGCCAATGGACGTAATATTTGTTACACAAATTTGCTAAAAATATAGAATAAAGGCAAAAAAAAAAATTTTTTTTTCCAGGTAAAAAAAAATGTCGCTTAACGAAGATGTACTTTCTCAAATATTTGAAGTATTAAGAGAAGATAAAAATTCTCTCTATTCATGTCTTTTCGTTAACAAAATCTGGTGCGTAACAGCTGTACCAATTTTATGGAGAAATCCTAATTCTTATTATAACTTTAATCCTTTTTCATTACTTTATTATACCATTGATTCTGATAAATCAAAAAAAATATTATTTAATATAATACTTTTAAATTTATCAGAAGAATCGAGAGATATTTTGAAGAATCAAGGAATCGATATTAATAATTTTATTACAGAAAAATATAAGCGACCTTTATTTAATTATATTAATTATTGGAAATATTTGAATTTATTATTTATAGAAAAGTTGATTACTTATAGTGGGATTGAAACGTCCAAAGTATCTATTATAAGAAACGAGATATTAAAGTTATTCATAAACACAAATACAAACTTTATTCATCTTACTGTTTTAAAATATGTAAGTTGTTCACTAATGGATTTAAAATATCGACTTAATTATATTTCAGAATTTAAATGTTGCTTTTCAAATCTTGAATCCATTCATTGTAATAATTATATTAGTGATAATATTTTGGAGGAATTAGCTAAAATATGTAAATCAATTAAGAAATTAAGATTTGATATTATTTGTCAAACTATTACTTATGGAATCATTAAATTAATTGAAGCACAAAATAATTTGAATGACATCAATTTCTCTAATTTTGTAGTTTTTAATCATAGTCATAACCAATTAATAAGATATTTTGAAAAATCATTGATTAAGCATGCGGATACTATTCAATATTTAAAAATCAATAGTATTCCTGATATGGGACTTAGGAGATTTCTTTCATATTTCGTAAATTTATTAAGTTTAGAAATTATGTTTAGCGTATTTTATAATGATTTTTATGGAGAAAATTTATCATTACCCAATTTAAAAATTTTAAAAGTTCGACTAGTTTCACCTAATATTGTGACAAGTATAATCGAAAACACAAAAGGGAACCTTTCTGAAATTAGTTTAGTTTATGATGGTTATAATGAAAAAATTATACAAGCAATATATGAAAATTGTCCAAATCTTCAATATCTTAAATTATCATATAATCTTGCTGGATTACTTATCTCAGGATTGGAAAATTTATTAACTAGTTGTCAATTTTTAAATGAATTAGTTATTGAAACACATAATAATTATAATATGGATGAATTATTTATATTATTGACTAAATTTTCACCAATTACTTTGTTTAAGTTTGAATTTATTACTTATGAAATTAATTTAGATAATATAAAATTATTTCTTGACAATTGGAAAGATAGAAATCCTATGTTATTAAAATTAAATGTAAGAGGCAAGGAAATAAAGCAGCAATTAGAAGATTTGGCTGAAGAATATAAAGTAAGAGGGGTAATTAAAAAATATTTCATCAATTGCGAAGATGAGGAATCTATCCTGAAAATTTAATTTTATTCATATCAAACTCATCATGTCATACAGTAATATGTGTAATTTCCTTACATTTAAAAGATCAAAGTAATTTTTGTTAAGAGAATTCACCCTTCTATTGTATTTCAATATATTCTTTAAATAAATTTATAAATTTTTATTATATTTTATCATGAAATAAATATATTATAAATTAATTTTATATATACTATGTATATTGCATAAAATTAATATTCAATTGATGCTGTTATAATAAGTTCACGACATCACTAATAACGTCATTAAAGTAATAGGTAAAGGTGGTGTATATTTGACAATATGGAGGGTTTGTCCGTTGTATTAGAATAAAAAAGAATATACAAGAGATTTAAATGAATCAATGGCTTTAAAATGTTTAAATAATTCTCAGAATATTTCTAGTAATTTTCTAAATGAGGTATGTAAATATTTAACTACTATTTGAACACTTTCCTTAAATATTATAATTGACTGGTTTTCTTTCTTTAGGTTAAAACATATTCAATTGATAATTATAATAACTTTGATAATTTTTTGATGGGATTCTAAAAATATATGGTATATCAGGAGTCAATAATAAAAATATGTTGATAATTTCCAATTATTGTCGTTTTATTTTTCATTTTATCAATTACCTCACGATATACAAATTTAATAATATTTCATCATTTTTTCAATAATGTCATCCCAACCAAAATATTCATATTAGCTTTAGAGAAAATATATTATTTAAGGATACTTATCATTGGGCTACTGTACTCCAAACCATATTTTAGATATGGGATGGCTTAGACTGTGCAATCTAAGGTAAAATACGAAATAGATGAAGATCATGCAGCCATGCAGGCCAATTTATTTTCTACTATTTGCTTTGTTTCTTTGTTAAAATAATTACTTATTATTATAGTTATTGTACTAAAATACAATATTCTAAATTACTTTTATTGATAATTTTGCTTAGCCGGTAAATAAAAATTATGATATTGGGTTAAAAGATTTATTCTAAAAATAAATTAGACATTTTACTAATCATGATTCATGAAACATGATAATATCATGTGTTTATGTTTAAACCTGTCTCTTATACACATCTAGATGTGTATAAGAGACAGTGTTTAAACAGTGTGATTTCACCTGATCATCTTTTTCTTAATATCAAACTATAAAAAAATTGCCTTTCCTCTGCTTTTTACTTTTCGATCATTTTTTTTTTTTAAATTACTTTTTAACATCCCACCTACTTTTACTCTTTTTCATTACACGTTTTATTATAATGAATTAGAATCTTCGATTTCACTCATTTATAGAATGTCAAACTTAAATGATACATTGTAATAAACGAACTTTTCATAAGTTACTTGTTTCTGCGATACTTTGATTATTAAACGAATTCGCAAAATTAATAATATATATTATTAATAATTTATTTATGACACTAGATTTAATTACTAAGCTTGCTTGATTTTTAGTGCATTATTTACTAATTCAAGAGAAAATTTTTTACTTGATTTAGAAAATTTTGAGCTTAATAAATTCTAATTACCTTAAAAACATTAAGCTCTTGAGAATATATATAAAAAGTTTTATTTTGATTTTACATATTGAAAATGGCTTTATATGTTTATATTTTTGATTATCTATATTTAATAATTGGATAAGCTGCAAAAACATCAACAAATGTAAATAATGCTTAATTATTAAATTGTTAATGGACCTACAAAAAAAAAACGAAAACGTTTGATATAAAAAAATATATATAGGGTTTACCACAAAATCTCGACAACCATAAAATCAACAGTCTACAATCTCGACACCAAGATCCCGACATAAAATTTGTCATATAAATAATTTGGTATCCAAATCCCGTTGTCCATTTTTTTTTTTTATAAATATAATTTTTAAAATGCAGTGACGCAGTAACGGGTTAATTTATTGTAAATTTTATTAATACCAATGTACTGTAAATTGTTTGCAAATTTATTAATATTAATGCAAATTAATTAATGTTACTATATTATTAATGAAAATTAAAAGAAAAAAAATTTTTATCTTAGTTAAAAGGATTATATACAGTATATTACTAGTTTACTAAACTATTCCTTTATATCTTCTAAAATTAGAAACAATTGCATTAAAAAATTAACTAGTCTCAAATTCATCTGATCGAATCTCAGCCAGGATTTTGGCCGTCAAGATTTTAGATTCATCGGATTCTGTGATTTTGATGTCGGGATTATTGACTATCGATATTATGGGTGACAGGATTTTTGTGTGATCCCGTTATGTAGTGCCTTTGTTATCCAATGTGATTGATTGACAATCCAGATAAGATCAGCGTAAAAAACGGGGCAAAATTCCTAATTACTTTTAAAAAAAATTTCATAAATCACTACTCAAGAACCTAAAAAAACAGAAAATTTTAAAAAAACTATTTAGAAATTATTTTAGATTTTTTATCATTGTCGACGCTGGATTTAATTTCAAAGAGTTGGCTTTTTTTCAACAAAAAAAAAAAATTGGGGGAAAGAAAAAGGATAAAGAATTCGGTTTAAAAAAAAAGGAAATTTCCGAAAAAAAAGGAATCTGAAAAAAAAATAAATACCAAAAAAATTCTGAAATAATTCGGTCCAAAAAAGAGTAAAAAAAAAAATTTTTTTAGAAAAGTAACGATATGGTCTAAAAAAAAAAGATCGAAAAAAAATTAATATAAAAAAAATTGGTCTTAAAAGACCGAAACAATAGGATAATTTTTTCAAAAAAAGATGAAAAATTTAAAAAAAAGGAACCAAAAAAAAGCTAAAAATATTTGAAAAAAAAAATCAGACAAAAAAAATTAAAAAATTCTGATAAGATTTCAATTAACTGAAATTGGATTAGTGAATAGAAAATGAAAAAAATATCATTAGTATACAAATGTAAAGTGATAACTTATGCGATATTTCCGAAGTCTAAAGTTCACACTCACAAAAGACATTCAAAATTAATTTTGTTTCATGACATTAAATTATAACACAAATATTGAAATTTTGAAAATTTCTATAAAATATATACAGTAGGTGATTTTATAATTATATAATAACAAATAGTCTTAATAAGTAACAAAAATAAAATGAAACAAATGAGTATAACCAGCATATTGTATTGTTATTTTTACAGTACTTAATTATTTATTCATTTTTATTGCCAGCTAAATAAGAAACATATTTTAAACATAAATTAAAATTTATTATTTCTAAGGAAAAAAAACTTGAAACAAACATCAATTAAATTATTCATCAAAACTAGGTGATTTTTTGAATGTAGTCATTTTGTTAAATAATAATATTAGGGTAAAGTTATTCCTCACCCCTAAATGTTTATGTTTTTGATTAAGAAAAAAAAAAGCTTAATGAACAATCAAGAGCAAACTTTTTTCTTTTCTTTTATTTCATAAATAAATTACAATCAGTTGTAGGTTTTTAACTTTAACAACAGACTTTATTTCATAAGTATTTAAGAAATACCGATCAAAATCAAGAAATATACATTTTTTTTATAGCAAAGAAGTAATTGATGTTTATTTATTTACTAAATATATAACAAAACAAGTCAAAGACAAGAGCGCTACATACGAGTAACTTTTATTATGCTAGTTTGAATATTTATCATTTATGAAGTAATTGGTATTTTTTTACATGTATTTAAACATTGAAAATAATGTTTGTTTATTTGCTTATTAAAATTGATTTTATTGTAATAAAGTGTTTTTAGATGCGCTTTTATTAAAAGTAATAAATAATTTATTTATATAATATTAATATTTTTTAAGAAAGAAAAATTTTTTTTTGGTAAATGTTACCTGCGAACTAAATCAAATAAATATTTTATGTGGCATATATAAGTGGAGTATCGTAATTATGCGATTTTTCACGTACCTTACGTTAATGCGTTATGCTCACTTATTACCTACCGCTGTAAAAAATATGCACGAGACCCCGAATTAATAAAATTATATCTTGTTATCGATATAAATCTAAAATAAAAATAAGTTTGTTTAGTTAAGTTTGTTTAAATAATTCAAATTTGTATACATCTTACCATTTATCATTATTGCACGATAATTTTTTCATTTTTTCTTCGACTTTTTTTTTTTTTTTTTTACAAAAAATAAATGGATATTATTAAATATGTTTTACTTTTTTATTAGTAATAAAGATTACTTACTATCATTTGAAATCGTAAAGTCATATGGCTTACTATGATATGCTTATAAAAATATATATATTATTGTATGTACAATAATTTATATTTTAAAATTTTTGATTAATTAATAAATTTAATAAACAGTTGTAATTGCTAATTATTACCTTCTTGGCTATCTATTAATTAAAAAAAAAATAATTCAAATAATTATCGTTATAAATAGGCAATATTAATAATTAACTTTAACTACAAATATCAGATATACAGTAAATACTCAATGATTTATTTACCTTCAATAATATTTCTTTGTTCGGAGGATAAATCTTCGAATGTATGAATTTCACTAAATCTTTCAACTGATAAATTGATGGTGCTAGGACTTATATTATTCAATTGTGAATTAATAATAATATCATTGCTATTAGTATTTTCTTCGTAACAAGCTTTATTCATTTTATGTATTTTACTCCAAAGTGTATCAGTGTCAGGCCTCTTTTTTGGATCAACATCCCAACATTGTTCCATTAATTCTTGATATAACAAAGGAGTTCCCGACTTTATCTTTGGTCTCATACCATTAATAATATTCATTGCAAGAGAATAATCTCTTTCTTGATCAGCAAAAGGTAGTTGTCCAGTTGAGATCTCCCACATAAGAATACCTATACTATAAATATCTGATGCACGAGAATATTCTTTTTCGATAATGACTTCAGGAGCTACATAAGGTAGATTTCCATATATACTTTTCAATGATTTATTGACTGGTCCACAAAGTCCAAGATCACTAATATACCAGTGATTAGTTTTTTGTAAATATAGTATGTTTCTTGAATGCAGATCTCTATGAATTACGTTCTCTTTATGGATTCTAATAAGGGCACGTACTATATAGTAAATGATTTGAATCTTAATTTTCCATGTGAGTTTATCATAGTATTGTCGTAAATATTTTTCTAAATTGATGTCTAAACGGTGCATTACAAGCATGTAATTTCCGTCTGATGGATCTTGAGTTACACCGTAGCATTTAACAACTACGAACCACTTATTACTTAAGGTTAAGTGTGATTTTATCTGTATATAATTGAAATATGCTTAAAAAAAGATTGCTGTAACAAAATTTTTTAATTTAAAGTACACATACCTCGTCAAACCAATTAATACTACCAGTAACCTCTAACCTTTTGAGTACAACTTTATGATAAGTACTTTTTACTTTTAGTATTTGTTCTTTAGAATCCCATTTATTATAACTTCCATCAATCCAATCTGCTAAATAAATTTCAGAAAATCCACCACTTGTTAAATATTCAACATTTATTAAATTATTATATGGGATCCATTTAATTACAATATTTGGAGCAATTGTTTCCATTTGACATTTTCGTATCAAATTATCAACATCAATATTTCCAGTTGTCCAATTTGAAAATTCTGCTTTTAAATAATTTCGAATACAATTTTCACAATATAATGTACCCAAACATTCTAATTGACAATTTTCACATTTTCTTTTTGTCCCAATATTATAAATTATTTTATGTTGATCATACTCTTTATTTATTATTCTTATTGCATCTAATTTTTCATCTTCATTAAGAGATTTATCATCAAGAATTATATGTTGTTCAAATTCAATTCTTTTAATTAAGTCATCATAAATGTTAAAATCTACTAATGCTTCAGCTCTTTTTAATGCTACATGAACTAATTCCTTACAAATGGAATTCATAATTCTAAATATTAGTTGTACTCGAAAAAAATGAAGATACGAGTATTCAAATGTAAATTTTCTTTTAGGATGTAAAATGTGTTTATTTTTTTTATTATTTATAATTTTTTTTTTTGTTAATTCTTTATTAATAACCACATTGTAACCAATAGTATTTATACATGATGAATAATTCTAGGTATATTACAAAGTCTAACGGCAGCCTATCTATCTATTAACTAACTATCTATAAACTTAACTAATCTAAAAAGAGAAATTTCAAGTAAACATTAAACAGAAAGCTTTAAACAGGTTTGTTTGAATAATTTGATAAGCCTTAAATTTGTAGCAGATGGATAAAAAATTGGGCTGATTGATAATAATGTTCCTTATATGGTTAGAAATGAAGTTACAGAAAAGCCGGGCTGGTAGATCTTACTAATACTATTAAGTAATAGTTGATTTACCTTAAAAATTTATTGCCGAAAAACGCCACCTAGATAAAAAAAAATTATTTGGATGTACCATTTCTTTTTTTGATTAATAAAAATTAATTTAGGAGTGGCTTCTCAGATCTTTTTTTTTTTTTTATTATTAATTTGATTTTTTTTCTTGGCGTAAAAAAAAACTTGATGTAAGAAAAAAATGTTCTTTTTTTGGCGTAAAGAAAAGTGTTTTTTCCTTTGTGTAAGAAAAAATTTTCTTTCTTGGCTTAGTGATAAATGAAATTAATTTTGTAGGTTTTACGATGTGAAATTTTTTAAGAAAAAAAGATTATTTGCGTTACATAAGTTGATCATGCATATAAATGTTTAAGACAATCACAAAGAACATTTAGAAAATTAATATTTTTTTGAAATCAGCAAATAAATAATATTTTTTTTAAATTTATATCTAATCATTACACTTGGCAAATAAATTCCCATTTTCTTTAATGATTGGAATTAAAAATTGGGGTATTTTACTATTCTAAATCTGTTGCATAATGTGATTTTTTCAGGGCCGATATTTTGATAATTTTGGTCAATATCCAAAAAAAGTAATAGCTTCTACCTGGAATTATCTAAAAAAGGAAAGGTTTTCATTATTCTTTTAGCACGTGCCGATCTTTTTGTGTACTATCACTCGGTGCTGCCAAAAAAGTCAATCTATACAATGAGAAATTATTACAAAATTATTTTTGGTTGGATGGGATCTTACCAAATAAAAACTAGTAATATACAATGATTTTCTATAAGAAAATTCTAAATATGTTGCAAATTTCCTTTATTCTTTCATAATATTCCGTGTCACATTCTCAAATTCTTTTAGAATTTTCTAAACGTTCCACAGAATTTCTTTTTATTCGAAATAACAAACTAAATATACCGTCAAAATTTCGATCTTAAAAATAAAACAATATGGAACTTATAAATAAAAATAATGACTCATTTGATCCAACACCAAGATTAAAAACTAGTCCTGTACCTGCTTTTTTTATTCCTTTTAAGATTAACGAGGAAAAATGTAATTATTGTGAAAATAAGTATTCCGAGACGCTTGAATTCAAACAAAAATATTGTAAAAATTGTTTTTTTCAATATATTAAATGTACAACGGATAATAATACATACTTGGATGTATGTATAAATACAAATAAAACTAATAAATGTATTAAACATGAAGTAATTAGTACAAAAAACATTCAAGAATGGTGTGAATATTGCTCTGAAGTTTTATATTTTAGACAAATAGTTTCAAATGATTTATTATTCAAATTTAATAGAAAAACATATTGTGACTATTGTAACTATTGTAACTTATGTGGAAAATTGATTACAGATTTAATATTAAATTATGTATGTCCAGATTGTTATCTAGTTTCTTATGAACTGGTAGAACCAAATTTGACCATCATATCATCCCAGAATTTTTTGAATATTTCGATTATTCATTTACCATGGTGGGATAATTATGATAAATGTAGAATTTGTTATCTAGAATTAAAATATTTAACAGATTGTCAAAAAATGTGTTTATATTGTCATATAACTTATAATGGATGTAGATATTGTTTAACGACAAATCTCATTTTTACAAACACAGATCAATCTCAATGTAGGAAATGTAAAAGAATATCATTTATTACTATTGATATTACAAATATCAATGAACAAACTAATATATTTTTTAATCATTTGAATAAATATAATGAAATTTCTCATTCTTTAAATATTTATGAATTTATTAGAAAAGAAAGGGTGAGATGGGTTCCATATTCTCAAATTAAAAGTTTAGAAAAAATAGCAGAAGGAGGATTTGGTACTGTATATAAAGCAACTGTTTATCATAGTGAAATTGTTGCTATAAAAAGATTTTTCAATTCACAAAATATCAGTAAATATTTTTTAAATGAGGTAAGTAAATGTAATGTAAGATTTAATTCGTGATCCGCCAGTGAACCATAAAATTTGACTATTAAAAGGCGGTGATAAGTTCATATATATTTTTATCAATAATTTAGAATCTGCGATTCTGGAGAAAAAATATGGGATAACTCGCCTTCTATTGGTCATAAAGACATAAAATCATTACCATTAGATGCGTCTCAATGAGACGAATCCGATAAACCAAATTTTATTTTCATACGACCACTAGATGATGAGTTATCTTTAAAATTTTAAAATACTAAATTTTTCTTTTTTTTCAAATTCAAATTTTCAGCTCTTATGAAAGTGTCTTTTGGTGCTTAAAATTTTTACCGGTCTTTTATTATTAAGATAGCCAAATGGCATATTTTTATGCCTATAATATTAGTTTTCATATAATATTTTAGTAATTTGTACCTTGCATTGGCGGAACTGTAGATTCCGTGCTATTAGTAAATATATATATAACTTTCACCGGAATTTAATAGCCAAGTTTTATGGTTCACTGGCGGATCACGAATTAACTATTAATGTTTTCTAATTATTTTATTCATATTTAGATAAAATCACTTTGTCATACTTCAAAATTTTTCGTTATTGGTTGTCGTGGCATTACACAAGATCCTGTAACAGAAGATTATATGATAATAATGACATATGCAAATGGTGGAAATTTACATGGTTATTTGCAAAAGAACTTCGTTAATATTACATGGCCGAACAAAGTAAAAATATTATTGGATATTTCATTAGGGTATTTATTTTCAATATTAATTTGTTATTATTTATGTTTAAGTTCGCTAATTACCATTTCCTACTATAGACTTCAAAATATTCATGAAAATAACTATATACATCGAGATCTTCATAGTGGAAATATATTATTGTTATATAAACGTTGGAGGATTGGGGACTTGGGATTATCACAACCTGCAGAAAATACATCATTAAATAATGAAATATATGGAGTAATACCTTATATTGCACCAGAAATATTTAAAGGGGGTAAATTTTCAAAAGAATCTGATATATACAGTTTGGGTATGATTATGTGGGAACTTACAACGGGCTGTAAACCTTTTGCTGATGTTGAACATAACATTGATCTTATTTATGAAATTATTGATGGAAAACGACCTGAAATTACGAATGATACTCCTGAATGTTTTGCTAATTTAATGAGACAATGTTGGAATTCTGATCCTTCAAAAAGACCTATTATTAATGAATTTTTGATTCCTATTTTTAAATGGTACAATACTACTTTTGAAATTTCACCTAGTTTTCGTAAAGAATTTACAGAAATATTTGAACAAGCTGAAAAAAAAAGATTAGAATTAATACAATTAAAGAAACTCGGTCCTGAATTTAGTCAAAAATCTCACCCAAAAGCGATTTTTACAAGTAGAGCATTAAATTCTTGGATATCTAAATCTTCAACTATAAATTCATCCACAATAATGCATAGTATTAAACAAGGTACTGTTACGTTATATTACTTAGAGAATTAACCCATTTTTATTTAATTATTTTCGATGGCAGTCCATAATATAATAGTAATTTGAATAACTAAATTCCTTTTGCTTTATTTTAGAACATTATATTACAAAAGAAAATGATTTTGATATAGATATAAATACACAAAGGTAATGTAAAATCATCAAATAAAAAAATCCATAAAATATAGTAAAATATATTGGATTCATTAATTTTTTTAGGTTATCTTCATCAAACATTCAAGAATCTTCGTTGAATAATCAACATTCAAACGCAATTTATACTATTAGCAAGCCGATCTCAACTGTGAATTCTTCAAGGAAACGTAACTTTGAAGAATTAAAAATTGAAACTCAAAATATTGGTAAGTGAACTTGTATTATTTATTAAATTGCTTATTTATCATTAATAACTTTTTTTAATTAAATTAGGAAAACACGTCAAAATCGATAATTGAAATTTATAATTTACAATTACATATTAATCTTGATTTTTAAACTTTATAACATCCTTCTTCTAAACTTTTACAATTAATAAATATATTGGAATAAAATTGAATCATGTTATTACTTAATGCCATGTATGAAATAACACTCGGTACTCCTTACGTCCAATGGTCCGAGTAATTATATAACCAACTTTTGTGTATATAAGTTGAATATTTAAATAACCCAAACTCGTCTTGAGCTTAACTCGAATAATTGGATTAAACTCAAATCTTTTATAAACCGAATGATCGTATGATCATACTTTGCACGTTGACATTGAAATTGTTTTGGTCGTTCAATAAAATTTTCGCATGAAAAAAATGTCAAACATATAACGAAAACGTTTGTACAGTACTATCCCAAGCAATACCGCAATTTATATTCCACAAATTATTTATAGCTAACTTTATTGTTTATTTATACAATTCTTATATTCATATCGTTATAAATATAAAGTACATATTTCATATATTACATAAAATAAAAGTTTAAATAATATAAAAAATATCACAATAAAATTGAAGAAAAAAGCTGGTGAAAAAAAATATGTAAAACAAATCGAAATACATAAAAAATAAATATTATTGTTTTTTTACGATTTTCGTTTGAAATTCGTCGACTTTATCATGAAATGTTTTAAATTGGTAAAAAATGAATGGAATTTCTGAGTCGGTCAACTTAAACATCATCTACATATTTTTTGTACTACGTTCAAGAATTCTTGTGGACCTTTGATAGTTTTTTGAACTTCATTATGTTCACCAATAAATTTCTGAAGTCTTTTTATATTGATAATTTTATGTAACGCCGTACCACCAAATACTCTACTAGAAATAGCACTAGCAAATTTCTGAAATATAAAATTGTTTGTTTGTTTAAATAAATTATTCGAATCTCATTTGTCAAATTGTTACTATACATACCTTCAAATTACCTAAATTAAATGTTGCAATCGCAATAATGGAAGATACATCGCTGGAGAAAAGAAATTTTTAAGAAATTGGCCAATCAATTTTGAATCCATATAATAAAAAATAATCAAATGCCTACCCAATTGCAATATCCGGCGGCTTTAAACGTTTCATTATCTTACTTATTATTTAATTCTTCTAATTGAGTTTCTAATAAATCATGTATTTCCTACAAATATATTACAAAATTTTCTAAGTGACCTTGGAGAAACTCGATGTTAGCTAATCTATAATGTTAATATTGTTTAAACAAAAACATTTTTATTTTTGTTGAAACCCCAAAGAATTTTTTTTTTTTTTTACCAATGAAGTCTTTTGTTGTTTTTTCTTCGAAATTTCACGTAATTGTCCAAGATATGTCTCAAATCTATTTGGAAATTATTATATTCGACTTGTGTATATCGATATGTTTTTTCCAAATAATAAAAAGTACAAAAAAGTCAATAGAGACACTGCGATCGGCCAATATTTAGAAACATAACTCGTAAAAAAAGAAACAATTTGGAATTAGTTAATAGAATGGTAACTTATACAAATGAATTGTTTATCGTACCGGCGATATCACATTCTTTCTGTACTCTATTAAATTGTTGAGCATATTAGTAAGTCCACGAATCCAATTATTATCTATTTTGTCTTCGGTATGCGCACGAAAATGACGAAATTAAATATTAGGATTGCCCTTTATATCAAATTCGCGATAATCCATATCAAAAAATAAGTTGCAACGTATCAAGAATTATTGAAGGTATATTGCTTGCATATTCTGCCAAACATTTCAACGCATCATTGAGAGCCGTGATAAAAGATGTTGCTACCAGTTTTGTATATTTAGATTGACACTTTTCTGAATAAATAAAACTGTCAGGGATATTTAAAGAATGAATACTAATGACAATATTAAAAGTTAGTTATGTTAATTATTAATAATTGTTTTTCTTTTTTTTTTGCAAAGAGATAAATACCGAATATAATTGTTTGACTTTTTTGAATATTGAAATTGACCATCAAACAAGACAAAAAAATCCATTATCCATTGTGAGAAAAAAGAAAAAGAAATACACGTACGATAATTATTAATTTTTTTTAAAAAAATCATTCACTGATATTTTCAGAATTTCGTATGACGATCTTCTGGTTTATATAATTATATAAACAAGAAGTTTATTTATGAATAGGATATGACGCAGTAATTTTAAAAATTTTTTTACTTAGAATTTATTTTTTATCATTCTTTCATTTCAAAAAGTACTTTATTAGTATTTTATATTACAGTATATTATAATTTCATGTTACATTATATCTACGACATAAAAGTACGTAAAAGTTAAACCAGGAACAAAATTTAACCTGCTTATGTCATATGATATAGACAAGATTTGTTGAAAAAAAAAAATATTATCGTAATAAAAATTATTAAACAAATAAATAAAATAATAAAAAGGAATTTTATAATATCATTTGCACATAATATTATCATGAGTTAACAAAAGACAAATTACAAAGATAAAAGAATCCATTTATTAATGTGCAACCCTGATAGCAATATGTACTCCCTTCATAATCAAGAGTTAAAAGTACAATGAGCAATATATCTATTGCCACAGTGACTTTTTCCTCCCGGAGGGGGAATCTTGAATTATCAAAATTGTCGGTACGCGTGTAATCAATTGCTCCTTGTAGTAATGATTGTATCCGGATTCATCATATCCGGTTAAGCTAAAGGATATCCGATAAAAATGGATATCCCGGATAGATTTTTTTTTAGTTGACGATCCGGATGAGTATCATGAGTATCACGTGACTCCGGTTCACCGTTTACCAATTAAATTTTTTGGATTACATTAATTTAATTCTTACTTATACTCAAACTTTATTAAACTCGTGTTTAAGCCCGTGACTGATTTCTTTTTTGATTTTATTTAACTCTTACAGTCTTACTAAACAGTAATATTAATTACTATGTATTAGCATAATAATAAAATTATTGGATAGTAACGGGAGTTTATTATAAAAATTGCATGAACGGTCCCGTCAAACCGATAATATATAATTAAATTACTTGGATTTAAAATTTATACAATTGATACATGATATTGACGGATTATTTTCAGATATCTGCTAAGAAACCATTAAAAAATCCTTTAGCTATCCGCGAAATTAACGGGTTTATCCGGATGCTATCCGGATGTTATCCGGTTTATTTAAACAGATATCCAGATATGAAAATCCTTAACGGTGACGAATTTTTTTATCCGGATACTTACCGGATACAATCACTACCTTGTAATAAATAATAATATATTAGTAACCAGTATGTGTCCTTATCCAAAATTTGTTATAAATTTCATATTGAAGTAAAAAAAATATTCCAAATCCTTCCCATTAAATAATTACTCGAAGATTAAATTTTTCATAATTACGATTTTAATAGTTGACAATGCAATTTCATGCAGGTCAAGAGAAAAAAAAGTTATACAAAAGAGATATAAATTTTCTTATTTTGTGTGTCTCTATTTTTTGTTGAGGTTTTTATCAGGAAGTAAAAAGATATCGAAAAAAGAAGTGCTACAAAAATAGTTGAAAAAAATTCGACTAAAGTGTCGTACATCAATATAATAGTGTTCTTTTAAAGTTTTTTTTTAACAAAGTAAGAAGACACCCTATAAGAAATATGTATACGGAAAGGATACGTTTTGTATACATTTTATGTACGTTTCTATAGATTCCGTATACAAATTCCGTATATTTAATAAGCAATTCATTTTTGAACATTTTTTAAAAAAACTAATGTATAAGAAATGTATACAGAAAAAATTAATCATACGGAATGTATACGGAATTTTTAAACTTTAAAATATTTTTAGAAGATAATTTTACAAAAATCCGTATCATAACATATAACCCAACAGCACCCAGAAAAATTCTTAGATCACGTGATCTGTTTTTATTTATCACATCGTCACACCCTGTCCGAGTTTCACTGTTTATATTTATCTGAGGGACTTAGATTTTTCAAGTAGATGAAATTCTATTTGTCACGTTTTATTCATCACATTCTAAATTCTTCGATCACGTGTCAGTGCATAACGCCGGCCGAGTTCGAAGAATTTTCTGGGTGCCGTTGGGGTAGTTGGTGATAATCCATTCGGCACATGACGATGTACAACAATAAAATCTTAAAACCAGATATTTGGGCGTAATATTAATATTACGAAAAATAATTGGCCACAACGTGTCAGGCGTAGATCGTCGTGGAATTCCAGAGGGTTTTCTGCGATTAAACCGGGTCCGGATGATCGCCAATCAGGAATTCGGTCCCGTTTTTCGGCTAACTACACCATTATCGTAATATATATGTTTATTTATTAATGTTGTAAATCATTGATCAAAATGACATAATGTATGTGATAATCCTATGCCCTATGGTACACAGAATAACCCAATTTGGACAAATTGACGGAATTCGATTCCGGTATTTTATTACATAAATGGAAAAAATTTTTTTTTTGATATTTAAAAATTCTTTTACAACTTAAACGCTTTATTTATTTATTTATTTATTTTTGAATAAAAAAATGTCCTTTCTTAATAAAGATGTTCTTTTGCTAATATTTGAAGAATTACAAGATGATTCAAAATCCCTCTTTTCATGCCTAATGGTTAATAGACTTTGGTGTGAAGTTGCAGTTCCAGTTTTATGGAGGAACCCCTGGTCCTATAGTGGTATTAATTATAGAAAAAAAAGTTATCTATACATCATTATTTCTCACTATATATTTGATAATATTAAAAAATTCGTAACAGAACAAAGAATTCAATTACCTCCAGTTTTAGACAAATCACTCTTATTTGATTATTTATCCTTTTGCAGAAGTATCAATGTAAACACTATAAATAGTATAATTTCTATTGGATCATCTTCAACTTATAATCAATTTTTTATACAGCAAGAGTTTTACTATCTTTTTATGAAAAAATGTCCAGAATTGAAGTATTTAGATATGAAATCAATTAAACATCAAATATTTTATTTTCCGGAATCTAAGATTCGCCTTGAATCGCTTTGTGAATTAAGATGTGATACGTCTATTGATTCATCATACTTTTATGGACTATCACAATTCTGTCAATATATACAAAGATTTATCATTGATAATATAGAAACACGACCTAATAATGGAATTGCTAAATTGATTGAAGTTCAGAAAAATTTAAAGCATTTTGAATGGGTAGATGATCTTTATGATGATTATCTTGATGAAGATCCTTATGAAGAAATTCTTCTTGCTCTAGAAAAGAAGGCATACAGTCTCAATTATTTAAGAATATTCATCAAATATGTAGATGATATTGGACACACATTATTACAAGAGATACTTTCAAAATTCTATAAATTAAAAACATTAATAATTGAAGATTTTCTTTATTTTACTCTAGAAAATTTAAAGCAATTGAAAATTCAGGCTTTTCATGAATTAGAAATCCTTAATATAGAATATAATAGTTTAAATATATTTTCTAATATAATTGAAAATGGTGGAGGACGTCTTAAAAAAATTTTATTTAGACCTTATGATTCTATCGAGTGTAATTATCCTGAAAATTCTCTAAATTTTATTCGTGCAATTTATAAAAATTGTCCTTTAATTGAATATTTGTCTATTATTTTTTTGTCATCAAAGGAACATTTCGCTGAATTTGAAGAATTACTAAAAGTTTGTAAAAATTTGAAGTCATTATTAGTAGTTACGTTTGAAACAGAAATTAGTAATGAGAAAATTTTAAAAAATGGAGAAGAATTATTAAAAGTATTAGTTAAATCAGCACCAACTAATTTAAAAGAATTTAGATTTGGTGATGAATTTAGATTTTCTTTAAAAAATTTGGAGGAATTCTTTAAAAAATGGAGATGTAGACCTGCACTTTCTATACTTACTATTGATTCTATTTACATAGGAGAGGATTATACAAGATTGATTGATAAATATAAAAGTAATGGAGTAATTAAAGATTTTAAATATGTACCTAATATAGATCAAATTAACTATTAACTTTATTATATTTGAAATTTAATGTAAGTATTGAAATATTTTTTTGTATACAAATATTTTTAAATATTATTAACATTTAAAGATTATTAATTTCAATCCAATTTCTTTAAATTCTCAGTAAGTTATTAAGAAGTAATAATTATGTTTATAATTTCGACTGAAATTGTCTTTCTGATCGACTAGCACGTGTACTGTAAGTAGCATCGCATATATAATGATAATTTTAAGAAAAGTTGGTTATATAAGGCTTTGAATACCATCACATTTCGCAATACACTGTACTTTTTAAATTATAAATATTTTGTAAACAGCAATGTCGAATTATTAAATATCAATATATAAATAAAACCTAATTATATAAAGGGGAATATCATTTATTTCGTGAGTAGTGATAATTATGACGAGATGATTAATAATTTAACTCTGGATGGAGAGTTGTTATAGTAAATATCGGTATTACAAATATCGCAAGTATCGCAAATATTACATTTAATAAGTTTATAAAATAAGAATATTATCAAATATAAAATAACAATTATCTATGCATAAAAAAAAATATCTTATAAAATCACTCAAAATCTTCAGAAATGCCAATGAAATATTTTTTTTAATTCTTTTGCTTTTATATTGGGCTAAATCTTTTAATAATTGTTGCTTTATTGTCTCGTTACAATAACTTTCGTTGTTTAAACCTAGTAATATAGGTTTCCTTGATTCTCTTGATTCTTCTGATAAATGTAAAAGTATTACATTGAATAATATTTTCATTGACTTATTGAAATTACTAACAGAAGGAGGAAAATTCCTTCATAAATTTGCACCGTAACACACGGAGCGATGCATAATCATTCTTTTATCTATATAATAAAAATGGGGTAGTAAATTTGCAAAACAATATAGTCTTGGATGAAGTTATTTAACAATTCAATAAATGCTCATCCTCATCTTTGATAGTATATTTCTAACAATTATTTATATTACTATAATACGTTTTTTCATCAAAACTCCTCAAGAATAGAAGGAATCATGAATGTACAGATTAGAATCAAAATTAGTATAGTAAATTTTGTTGCTTATTATGATTTAAAACAAGTTGCATCTTTTTTAGAGATACCTTTAAGAATTGTCTGAGCAGGTGAAAAGAGCTTTATCAATTACACTTTATTATTATATATTTGATTCAAGGAACTTTTTGTTAGAATACTAAGTGATTATGAGTAATTCTTTATATAATTACTAAAACTTTTTAAACTTATAATATTTAATACTAATTTCTTACAGAAAACATAATAATATTCAATACATAACAATTTTATGTATAAAAATTTTTTAATTCCAATTAAAATCTTCATTAATATTTATTTTACTATGACCAATGGAATATTTTTTAATTACTCCTCTTACTTTATATTCTTTGACTAAATCTTCTAATTGCTGCTTTATTTCCTTGTCTCTTATATTTAATTTTAATAACATAGGGTTTCTATCTTTCCAATTGTCAAGAAATAATTTTATATATTTCAAATTAACCCAATAAGTAAAAAATTCAAACTTGAACAAAGTAATTGGCGATGATTTAGTCAATAATATAAATAGTTCGTCCATATAAGAATTATCAATTACTAATCCATTTAAAAATTTACAATTAATTAATAAATTTTCCAATTCTGAGATAAGTAATTCAATATTATATGATAATTTAAAATATTTAAGATTTGGACAATTTTGATATATATTGCTTGTATAATTTTTTTAATTCCATAATCATAAATATAATCATTATAAAATAAGCTAATTTCAGAAAGGTGTCCCTTTGTGTTTTCCATTATTTTTGTCATAATATAAGATGAAACTAATCGAAATTTTAAAATTTTTAAAATATATAATGATAAATTTTCTACATATAAACCGTCCCGAAATCTGCTAAACACAATTTCTAACCTTAATAAATCTACAAAATAAGTCTTATGCCCCAAAATAGGTATACGATTAATTTTCAAACATTGAATAGTATCTGCATGCTTAATCAACAGTTTGACAAATAATATCGAATCTTAGCTTCTTAATTGATTTACATATTTTAACTAATTCTTCCAAAATATTATCGATGATAACATTATTACAATGAATGGGTTCAAGTTTTGAAAAGCAACATTCAAATCCTGAAATATGATGTAATTGATATTCTGTATTCTGTAGTTTATAACTTGAATTCTTTAAAATAGTAAGATGAATAAAGCTTATATTTTTATTAACGAATAACTTTAATATCTCGTTTCTCATAATAGATACCTTGGACTTTTAATCCCACTATTATAAATCATATTGTCTATAAATGTTAAATTCAAATATTTCCAGAAATTAACATAATTAAATAAAGGACGCTTATATTTTTCTGTGATAAGATAATTAATATCAATTCCTTGGTTTTTAAAAGTATCTCTTGATTCCTCTAATAAATGTAGTAAAAGTAATATATCAAATAATACTTTCATTGATTTAATAGAATAAAAGATATATAAAACAAAAAGATTAAAATTATAATGAGGATTAGGGTTTCTCCATAAAATTGGTACAGCTGTTACACACCAAGTTCTATTAACAAAAAGGCATGAATAGAGAGAATTTTTATCATCTATTTCTTCAAATATTTGAGAAAGTATATCTTCGTTGAAAACCATTTTTTTTTCCTTTTTTTTTTAAAAAAAAAAAAATTTCATTATTTTATATTTTAGTAATTGTGTAACAATATTACCCTTTATAGGTAAGGCGTAGCAAAAAAATTTACTATTAGCTCTAAGCATCTCTTTCAGGGGCCGGAATTATAATAATGCCAGCCAGTATCTAAAAGTTATACGCACTTTAACATTATCTACACGAGACATGCCCGAGGGTCATAAACTGGTAAATGAGCAAGATAAATTAATCAACTTAACGCCAACATAACCGAAATTATATTTTTAGTTTTTTACTATTATGTCAACTTTACGCAATAATTATTTCTATTAAATGAAATAATATCCAAAAGAAAATGTTGCATTTTCCATTCCTGATCGATGAAATGAATAGTAAGGCTTATGAGATGATTTACGTCAACTTACATCATTTATGCGCATCATGTTCTTTTTATATCTTACAGAAATTTGTTTCACATGTTATTGCACCAATTTAAGCCCAGAAACTGACTGCAAAGACATAATTTAATTAAGATAAGTTACTTGAATATTCTAATAATGCTTTTACTAAGTATGTTTTACCATATCATTTTTTTAATTAAAATACATATATTGATTTTGATCATATTGGTTAATAACTAAGAAATTTTGTATTATAAAATATAAACATATAATAAAAATATCACATGTTGCATCCTATTATTTTTTAAAATAAATCTGTATTAACCTCAAATTTGATAAGTTTATTAATTTATACATGATATTAGGTTTAAACAAGATAAAATTTGGTTAGTAATTCTTAGAGATTTTGGATTCATTTCATTATGAGTAATCAATAGTACTATTATGACTAAAAAATATTAGTGTTTACTAAATTTGTATAACAATTAGAATTATATGCTTAAATGATACAATTTTAGTTGGTTTAAACCTTAATTTTAATAATAATTAATATTGATACAATATTACAATATCTTACACAATTTGCATAAAAGTTTATGCAAGGAAAATACATAAAAAGTATTGATTAAGGCTCAATTTCCCCAATCGATCTACTGATAAAATTTTTAATAAATCATCAGAATCTTTTACCTTTCCTAGCAGCCTTTCCTAGCAGCACAAAATTCAAAATTTGTAATTATGGTTGATATTTCGCTAAAACAACTTTATGATGAAAAATATATCGAACAGGGAAATCTATTGTTATACGATAGATTCCGTTAAGGTGTAAAATTTACATATGAGTGCAAAGTTTGTATTATTTACCACTAGTATTATTGTGAATCATTATGACAAGCTATTCTGAACATAATTTTTTTTTGGGTTAGATTAAAGATATCTATGAAAAGAAGTTCCTTGTCATCCTCACGTCTGCTGAAAATATAGAAATGTCATGTAATAGTTTAACTGACCTCGAGCTGTATATTCTCCAATCGGATATCCACTTTAAAGATTTTATACTGTCTACTGGAAATCTTTATGATTGGTTTCTATCAAAGATAAGGGCATGATTAAAGGAAGCATTACTGAGTTAAGAAACCAGTATGTGAAAGAATATTAAAATATTTGAAATATTAATAAAATAAGAATTATCTTCTCTAACGCATTATGATATATATCAAAAACAATGAAGCAAAAGAACTTGGTGAACGTGAATTCCAACCAATATTAGATCCTCACCGCTCTAAATTGCTTGGCGAGATTAAAGATAAATTTCGGATGCAATTTAAGAAATTTTCTTTTTCATATGTGTGTGAAGCGTTGATAGATGATAAGGAAGCTATAGTTGTCTTCATGGATCAATCAGAAGAGACATCTGTACACTTACCAGCAAAATTTGAAGGCTTCCCTGTATTCATCTCTTATGAAGTTTTTCAACTTGGATAGAATATCGGACTTCAATTTATGACCTACATGATGCTCAACTTTCAATTCTATTGAAATGGTATATTCCTATTTACTTATTCAGATTAATTTCCTTTTTTTAGAACAAATATAGAATATATTCAATATGGATATAATAAACATAATGTAAACACAATAACTTACTTTTCCAACACATGAGTTTAATGGGTTATTTGTTGCCAGATTATCACAAATTTTTCTCAAATGTTCCAGAAACTTTTAAAGACAAGACAAGTATTTTTCAAGAAAAGAAATAGAAAATTTACTTGATTTAAAAGATATCTTTAACAGCTTATAATTATTTACTTTTCTTAGTATTACCATTTTTGTTTTATTCTACATACTTTGAAAATTTTTTAAAATTGAACCATTTTATCTATAAAAGAAATCTTTCGTTTCAGGAATTTTCAAAAAATTAAAATTGATATCTACTCTTAAAATATACAAAAAAATTTGTATGATGTAGGATTAGGGATGCCAAAAGTTCAGTTATAACCGATCATAACCGGTTTTTATTGGTTCGGTTATCGGTTCGGTTTCAGTCCAAGACCGACCGGTTACAGTAACCATCGGTTATATATATAAAAAGAACCGGTCGAAAAGCCGATCGGTTAACTGTAAATTTCATTCTGAAAAAAATGGTTTTCTTTCATCGAGAATACCATTAAAATTTGGGTTTAGTTACTTTAGTATTATTTTTATATAGTATTCTTATTTTGAATTATCTGTTATTGGCAAAACTTTACGCGTTTGATCACGTGATTTTTCGTTTCTCTGAAAAATTGCAAAATTTGCGTTATTATTGTAAAAAATTGCGTAAATTTAAAGGACATTATTCAATAAAACTATAATTTTAACACTTTCTAACTTTATTTTATTGGTTTTGCAGTAGTTTTGCAATCGATTTTGTCAATTTTGCGGTCAGTTCGGTTTTGGTTAAAAACTGCAATTTTAAAACCGAAACCGAATCGAACCAACCGTTGGCATCCCTAGTCATAACCTATGTGAATGTACTTTACTATATGTGAATGTGTGAAAGTATAATTTATTTATTTTAATTATTCATTATAGTGGAGTTTGTCCCACTCTATAATTTACAAGTACAGTTCCCGTCTATTATATGTGTTGAACAATAAATACTAAATAATCTAGGAACTAAAAATACAAAAAGGAAATGTACGCATCATATATACAATAATAATAATAATAGAAAATTTGTGTATTTAAATCAACTTTTGACCAAATTAACATGAGACATTATTGGATCTTACATGGAGGGAGTTGGTTGTAATACTATTCTTCCGTCAAATTTCTCTTGTTCAATCTGATGCTTAGTACGAGTGTAATTACGACTTCTCCAGCTCGTCTAATACAATTTCCTATATGACTCTTATAACCCTTATAAAATGAATTTTGATAATTAAATTCATCAGCTTCACTTTTAAGTTCTTTATATAACCAAAAAGAGGGTTTCCAAAATTTTCCATCAAATTGTCCAGAACGATGCTCACAATTATTGCTTGTTATGCTGTATATTCCTTTTCCATAATTAATGGTCACCGCCTTAGAAATGTCTTCAATTATACTCCGCCACGCTTCCGAATCTGCGTTGCGTTCTTCTGCGTCTGCGTCACGTTTGAAATCAATGCACGCTTCCGCTCCCAAAGCTTTTATAATATTATTAAAAGATTAAAATTAATATAAAAAAGGAAAATTTTAACATAAAGAAATTGTTTATTAGTACCCGCTGAAACAATAGTAAAGACAAAAATCAATAACAAATATTTAAATTGCATGATTGATATTCAAAATATTTAATTTGTTGTTTGTTATTTCGTTTATCAGAAATTTCTCCTCTTCCTCAAGTGTTTGTATAAGAAACTTTTTCTATAGTAGCACGTATTTCAAATTATTTCATGGTTTCATATTATTACTAATATTACAAATGAAAGGCGAAGTAAAGGAGGCGTAGACAAGAGTATTATTGCCACGTTAAAGTGTACAATTTAAGTACAATGCCACGTTAAAGTGTACAATTTAAGTACAATGCCACTTTAAATTAATAATGTAAGAATGCGAGATTTTGATGTCAATAATTATTTTAAGCCACAATCATCTGTAAAATTGTCGTTTTATTAACGAGTTTGCCACGTTTTTTTACATTGCGCCACAATCGAAACAGTGCCACCTTGAGTTAATAATGCGGAAATAGATGTTTTCTTTTTTCTTTAAAAAAAGTTTGTTCTCGAAATGGTAGTATCAAAATCGTTCCACAAGCCCAAGTTTAATCAATCCGACATTTTAGGTTTACATTCTTTAATGTGATAACAAAATTTATCTAATAATATTTAATTATACCTTAATTTTATGTGAGTTAGAGTTCAGATCCGGTGAATGATCCTAATGGCTTATTCAGTGAATATCCTAGGGTTACGGATATATCCTATTGGTCACGGTACGATTTCCCGACAAGACAAATTCCCGACATGATATTTCCTCGACATGACAATTTCCCGAAATCAAATCACGAAAAATGATTTACAAAAATACTAATAAATAAAGTAATGAATTTTGAAAAACTTTTCATGAAATTTATTATAAATTATTTACAGTTTAGGAATATTGTCTAATTTATTTAATTGGAAATATTATAAATGAAATTAACATTAACGAAAACTTAATATTTCTTTTTCTTTTTTAGATTAGTCAAATATTTTTATTACTACTTTTCTTTTTTCATCAACTTAAAATAGGTTAAAATAAAAAAATGATTTTCTTTAAGAATTTTATCAAAAAATTCATAAAATTTAAAAAGGAAAAATGGCTTATTTTTGATTCACTTCGTAAGTAATTAAAAAAAAAATAGAATTTTTTCCTTAATTAATAATTTTTAATTATTCTTTAAACTTTTTTTTTTTTTAAAAAAAAAATAAATAATTTTTTTACGAAAAAGGTAGATCAAAAATAGAAGGTCATTTCCTTTTTTATTTTTGTATTTTCGTTTTTTTTTTTGATTAAAATGTAAATCTAATCAAGATATGATTGTTAATGATCTAATGCATTCCAGGATATGATCATCGTTTCGGCCGTTTCAGCACGAAAAAAATCTATCGAATTATTTGATAAATGGGTTAATAATAAAAAACTAATTAAAAATTTAAATATTTGCGATTTATCAGTTATAATGTGTTATTTATTGTTAAATACTATATACTCAACCCAAAGTTACATTTTTAATAATTGATTTTGATTTCGGGAAAATTTCATGTCGGGACAATATCATGTCGAGAACAAATGCTTTTAGGGGAATGTCCACTCAGGAATTTGTCTTGGCATCTGCTGATCATCTCGTAATGTCGCTATTCAAAATATGTAAATCATCACATGAAAGTTCACCAAGGTGAATTTTAAATTTAATGAAATACTCCTGGAATACTGGCTTTGATGAATCCGGTTGTTATGACTGTGAGTAAGTGAGGAATTTGTTTATTTTTATTTTTTTGCTAATTATTAAAAAAAATTCCTAACTAAATATTTCATTTATTGTAGATATGCTGGTTTTGACAAAGCCGGGCAAGTGAGGTTTATTGATTATTTATAAAACGTCTCTAATGAAACATTTCTATTTGTAACCAGATACTTGGAATGTAGGGAGATTTTTTCATTTATCAAAAAAGAAATACTGCAACCCCTCGATTAGGAGGATGTGTGAACTTTTTTGTTTATTACAGAATGATTTATATTAACAGAAAGATAAATCATATGATTTAAATAAACAGAAAGAAAAATGGTAGCTTGCTGCTAACTTTTTTGAATAATTTAACCTAATTTAACCTAGTAGGAAAATCATTATATATAACTTTACCATGGCCACCAAAATTTTGTTTTTTACAGAATCGTTACCGTAAGACAACAAAACAAACAAAACATAACTTCTTGAAATTTAGTACCAATATGAAACTTCAAAGCTTTTACCTTCCTATTGCCATCTTCATCTGTGTCTGCATAGCATTTGTTTCGGTCACTGATGGTAAAGTTTTTATTACATTCAGTATTTTCTCTGTTCTCTTCTAATAATTCGTTTTTTTTGGTTTTATATGTAGCATATACTGCCTCTATAACTAGGGAAATGATAGCAGGTACTAGGTGTAGACTTTGGGTAACAGATCAAAATAATAATCAAATAGCTGGTGATCATCATTACCACGACTGTGATTCAAATACACCAAAAAACATGACTTTTCCTAATACACCTAATTATCGGATTCATGCAAAAGTACAAGGAAGTACCAGGCAAACGAAAGACCGAGGTGATTTTAATGGAGATGTCTGTTATCATATACATGGTGATGTTGGTAATTGGTGGTTTGATCCAAGCTGTTATTGAATTATTTTTCTTAATTATCTCTGTAAGTTGACAATTTGTATGTAGTAAATAACGTAAGCACATGACTTACTTACTCCCTTGCATAACGTAAGTTACTTACTTAGCTAGTATAAATTACATGACTAATAACTAATTAAATTTAGTAATAATAATTTGTAATCATTTATTTTTTATCATTTTATTTTTTTATTAAGAATCTAATAAAATTATTTTTTAAACTATTCTATAAATCAACCAAACTTGGTTTTTTTCTGAACTTTTTATTATAAATGGTAAACCTTAAGAGCAAGTACACCAATTAATGACATCGTAATGTATGAATGATGCAATCAGCAATATTTGTAACATGCGTCCGACAGCGTAGGATTGTACCTTCTTCTGGACCTACAAAAAAAAAATTAAACCGAACGTTAGTTATAATAATATATGGACTGATTTAATTAGCATAATTATTCCGAGTTAATTTTTAATAATTTAACAAATGAACAAATATAAAGTAAATAATTGAGCGCAATACGTTTACTCTTTAATCAAAAAGTTGCTTATTTTTACTTGTTTTCTTTTCTTTTTTTTTAAAAAAATCATTATTCTTATAAAAAAAAAAGAAGCTAACATCAACTTAAATTAAATCACAATTATTATTTGTAAATAATTGTACATAAGAATTTTTAACCAATCGTTATTCTCGTATTGTAATATCAGTCAGATAATCTTCAAATTAAAGAGTAAAGTATATTTAAAGAATATAATGCTGAATGAAGAATTTAAACATACTTGTAAGTAAATTAAAACTACTGTAGGGTAACACTTCGTGTTTTTTAGGTAGTGTTGCGATCCGGATGGATTCGTCATCCGTTTAATCCTGTCCGTAAATAAATGGATGATTTGGATGACCATCCGAATGAATTTTAAACGAATTGGTCCGGATTTATATACAGAAATAGCAGATGACGAATCATTCGTATCTTCTAAATCCGCGGATCGCAACACTATTTTTAGGCTAAATATTCGGTGTATATTAGAAACTTCCGCTACGCGCCTACGCCTGCAGCAAACCGATTGTATATTATCTTCAGAAGAAAATTCTTAAAGATTATTTTCTTTACTTTTAATATTTTTACCATCGACCTTCTAATTTTAAGTTCCAACAAGTTTAAAACTTATTAATGTAAAGAAACTTTGATATATGAAACTTTAATATCAATAAAGTCGATTTGAGCTACGTTTGAGATCATTATTTAAACAAAAGTTTTATCGTTAACTTCAACCAAGAAAGAATTATCGGAAATCTCACCTAGAAGTAAGAAATTTAAGGAAAATTTCATATTGAATTATTTTTCTGTAAAGAGATAAAACGTATAAAACTTGAGAAGGTTTGAGGGTATAAACCGTATATACTCGTAAAAACCTTTTTTTTGTCAACTAATGCATATACATTATTAATAAGCTTAATAATAGTACTGCATTAATGCATTACGTATATACTAATAACCTGAGTAAAAATGTATTTTGAAAAGTAAAATTTTACTGTTATAATAAATTATTAATATTTTGATTTTTTTTTAATTAAAAGATACTTTTATTTTTTAATACATTTGAAAGTAAATATTATTAGCACAAGTATTACCTAATGATTTGGATTATTCAGTTACTAAACTTAATGGGTTAAACTTGGTGGATTATAGCTTGAATATGTTTCATATCACTAATCGTTTTTTTGAGAAGTATTTTTGCTTGAAGTTGATTTCTTATTGAATTTCTATTGAAAAAAATAATCTCTAACTGGTAACAATTGTAGATAAATTAATCAACTTAACGCCAACACGACCGAAATTATAGTGTTGGTCAAGTCAACTTTACGCAATAATTATTTCTATTATGAGAGCTCATGTTCTTTTTATATCTTAGTGCAACTGGGATTTACTACGAAATCCCGACAATCAGAATCCCGCTACAACACAAACCCGACGGCCCCGACGCTCACAATCCCGACAAATAATAATCCAAAAACTTCAGAATCCTGTAACCACATTATTCCCGACATTCATTATCCCGACACTTACTATCCTGATGCGCTATTTTTTTTATTACTTTTTTTATAGACGTAATATTATTGTAATATTTTTGTAATAATATATATTAATAATTAATAATTTTTAAAATATCGCTAAATTATAATTTCTATTGTAACTAGGGTGGCGTCAGGAATCAAGTTGGCACGCCCTTTAATATTTTTTCAGTTAATATGTTATTTATTGTAAGTTGTGTATTTATGATTTTGTTTGTAATAATGTTTAATATATTAAGAAATAATCTGTTTATGGATTTTTTTCGCTTTATTATCAATTCTCTCATCCGCTTTTAAGTATCTACATTTTATCAGCAACTTTTCCCTTTCCAACAAATTCATTGAGAAAATCTTCCTATAAACCTAACTGATGGATTTTTTGGAAAAAAAGAAATTATTTTTAAATCCATTGTTGTATTATCTTCTTCTAATAGTTTCTTTTATAATAAAATTATTACTTCTTGTTCAACAATTGAATGAATTATACAAATTAAAGTGAATTTTGCTGGTATAGTATTTATTTATTTTTTTATTTATTTAATTTAATATGAAATAATTTATTTTATTTATTTTTTTATGTAAGGAATAGATATTTTACTAATATATTTTTCTTAATCGATTTTTTTTTTCCAAAAAGAGAGATATTTATTAAATATTTTTTTTATATGAGCGTCATTAAATTAAAAATGAAGTCAATATTCTTCATAAATAGAATCTTTTTTTCTTATGATCAAATATTTTTGATGTAATTATATTTATAACTTGTAAAAAAAATGTTTTTTTGTAGATGTGCCAATTCTATATCATTTGTCCGATTACATAATGATTGGA